TCTTTGAAGGGCAGGAAGCCTGTTCTGAACCAACCCTATACTTACTGTTCACCAGGACCGGTGTTTGTTAGCCAACGATATCTCAAGAAACATCAGGTGGCATGACTAGAGCTCAGTGCCATTCCTCCTACATGCAAAAGCCCAGAGTGAGACAGAACCAGAACGTAAGTTAAAAGAGAGGACGTCGTCTCCTGCCATGGCCATCATTGTAAGAATTCCAGGCTGGAAAAATGGAGGCTTACCAGGGAACGAGATAGTTTTCAACAAACAGGATGAATATAGCCAGAGAGTACTGACTCAGTCTCCCGGTCCAGAATGTCAATAGGAGAGTCTGGAAGTTAAAGGGATGCCCATGCTGGCTCCCTGGCCTGTTGCTGAGGCTACCCCAGCCCTTCCATCTCTTGAGAGAGATGAATCTCAAACCATTCTTGGCTGCATGCCATTCTGGCTGGAGAGAAAGGGCATGACTCTCCAGAGCCCACACTGGCTGCCACCTACCAACAGGAGAAAAATAACCTTCACCAGTCAGAATGGGAAGGTACTGGGTTTTGTGAGACAGAAGTAAAATAATCTGGTTTTCATTAAATATCATGGGAAGAGTATTAATTCATGCCAGAAACACAAATCTAAACATCATGTGGAAAGCGTTTACTCTGAAGGGACCATCTGGCAGAGCCTCGAAAACCATGTTTTGTACGATGAGCATGTCACCTGAAAGTAGTGAATTCAGAGCAAGTCACACTTTCAGGGGCTTGAAGGGAGCACTTCGAAGTAATGATATCTGCTGGTTATTTGTCACAAGTGTTCTAGGGCGGGTCTGCTTTTCTAAATGCTGCTTTATGAAAACAAAATTTCAATACAAGGCTTGGTTATTATTTCAGAATATCCCTCTATCTCTTCAAAAACAGTAACCCTTGCTTTGGGCACCTTAAGTCCAGCAGTCTGTTCACATAGTGTATAGAACATTAGTTATTTAACATAGAGACTGGGGGAGGGGACTATGGGTACAGCTCAGTTGGGAGAGTGCTTGCCTAGCATGCATCCCCCAACACCGCATAAAGTGGGGTTGTGGAGCAGGCCTATAATCCCAGCATTAGGAAGGAGGCTGCAGGACATGCACAGCTATTCTTGGACACACCTTGCCTCAGAAAACGAAGAAAGTGCATGTCAGAATCTGAAGAGTGAGCAGCTACAATTAATAAAAGATTACCATGTGGTTGAGGAGATGGCTCAGTGGTTAAGAGCACTGGCTGTTCTTCCAGAGGACCCAGGTTCAATTCTCAGCACCCAAGTGGCAGCTGAAAACCATCTATGACTCCAGTGCTAGGGGATTTGATGCCCTCTTTTGGCCTCCACAGGCACCAAGCATGCAAATGGTATGTAGACATGCATGCAGACAAAACACTCATATACATAAATATTTTTTAAATTGACAAAGAATAGAAAAATAACATCCTGAAATTATCAAGGAAATGGATGGTTATTATCTGTAAAATATAGCCTTTAAAACCTCCTTCTTGGGCCAGAAAGATGGCTCTGTGAGAGTAAAAGCACTTGTTGTCTAGTATGGCTACCTTAGTTCAATCCCAGAAACTCACACAGTGGAAGAGCAGAAGAAATTCCCACAAGTTGTCCTCTGACCTCCGCATGGGCACCATGACACCAGTGCAATTACCCACACAAAATAAATCTAATTTAATTAAAATAACAGTCACATTTTTGCCAGAAAATAAATCATGAATTGAAGCACATCTCTCTGTGTCTAAGGGGAAAAATACTTAGATTCCAGAAAGGAAGAGATGCTGAGGAAAATTTGGTCTTGTGACCTCAGCCCCTTAGGATCCAAAGGGACCGTGTTTACCTGACATTCCCCCGTTGTCCATGGACAAGACTATTAAACTTCTTTTGAATCTTCTGACTTCATTGGCTTAGATATACTGTTGTAGGCTGAACAGAAGGTGCAACTCTCACTTTTCCAAAGACTCCCTCCTTTACATGATACCCAAACATCCTTTGCAATGGAGGGACCTAGAAGATCTACTAAACAAACTCCTCACTCTAGAGAAGTAGGCATCCAGAGAGCTCAGGGGGACATGACCATGATTGACAGATTGTTGAGTCCTTAAGACTGCATTCTACTTCAGTACCATGAACATTACATTGCACACACACACACACACACACACACACACACACACACACACACACACTCCAACGGTCCATGTCTGTGTATGGGATCATCTAGAAAGGACCACACTAACCAGCACTAAATAGCCTGCAGGAGGACCTTATAACACCCAACTCCATTTCTTCACTGTAACTAAAAAGACATAGTGGTGCACTTCTAATCTCAGTACTGAGCTTCAGTGCAGCCTGGGTTATATAGCAGACATTCACATACACACATAAAAATTAAAAATCTTCTTTAGCCATTTTTCCTTATTAAACTAACAAAAATCCTCCCCTAGACTTATTTCTCTCCTTTTCTCTATAACTACTTAAAATTCTTCCCCACACCCAGGTCCACAGCCCCTCCTTTCTCTCAGTACTTCACACACAGATTGGTATAAATGTTCTGCTCTCCCGGCCTCATCCCACATCCATACAAGCCCAAGCCCTCAGCTAGGCTCAAGGGAAATGAACTGCCAACGTCAACAGGTCCACATAATTCTCATGAAGCTCCAGAACACCAGGGACAGGGAGGGACAACAGGATTCAGAGATCCCTTACAAAGGGGTGAGATGATAATCAGCAAGAGGCTTACATTAACCACAGAAGTTTCCAGAAAACAACCAGACATGGTGTAGAGATAGCCTGGAAAAATAAATTCAAACTTCCAGCTGTGTAAGGAGCCCAACTCCCCCACCTCACTTGATTGCTTACACACACACACACACACACACACACACACACACACACCCCACACACATCACACACACATACACACAGGGAGAGAATTCCCACACAAACCCCAGGGAAATTGGTTATCACTTCCAGTGGAGAAAGTAGTGAGAATAAAAGAGAACGTACTCGAAAGAAAAATGAACCTTAAAGTAGTTGTAGACAATAAGAGCAGGAAGCGATCATTATTTATTTTATTTTTATAATTAGAAAACAATCTTTTCCCAAAGGCTGGGGAGGAATGAAGGTAAGAAAACACAATTTTCTTCTTTTCTTTTCATTTTTTGCTTTGTACAATATGTCATTACTATTTATAATGTGCTTTCAGATAATCAGTCACTGGAATGACAGAACCCACAAAAAAAAAAGTGTGTTTTAAGGGGGAACCATATTTGGAAAAAGATTATTTCTATTAAGACTTAGAAATGCAGTCCTGATTCTGACCACATGCTTCTTGGTGGAAACTGGATGCCTTCTAACAGCCATCAGGACAATGTCAGTGGGCCTGGGGAAAGCTGGCTGGAGATACCTCCTTTTCTCTCCCAGCAACTTGGACTAGGTTCTGGATTAATTGGCAAGGGTGAAAATGAGAATCAAAAAATAATATTTCAGGCCATCTTATATGCTCAAAAGAGACAGTGGGTGTGTCCAGACTGGTGTGGCCTTGAGGACTTTCACCCCAGGTGTAGCAGCAGGGCCTCCCCTCTGCCAGGAGGCCGTCTGTGGGCGATGTCAGGCTGCACAAGGTTTCTGTAGAGAAACTCACAGTGTGATTGTCTGTGTCATATGCCATGAATTTAAGGCTTGGAATCTCTCACTTGAACTTTTTTACACCATCCCTCGTGCATGCCAAAAAAAGAACAGCTGCCAGAAAGCAGACATGTTCCTGTCTCTAAAAATAAAATGCTGGCAAGGCTTCATGCCCCCTGTGCCAAGACCAGGCCCTACCCAGGATAAACAATAGATGACCAAGCTGAAGGGAGGCAAATACTGGCCTATAGTAGGCCTGTGTCTGGCAGGAAGTGCTCAGGCCAGAGCATTTGGACCCGGAGACTAGGGGGCCAGGACAGCTGCTAGCTGCAACCCTGGGCCAGGTGTGGCCAAGAGGGAAGGCCTCCAATTACACTAGAGACTTTGCCTCAGTGGAGGTCACAGAACCCCCACCAAAGCCTGTCCTCAAAGCCATGGGATGCAGAGTGTAGGCCTGCCTGGCTGTTGTGGGGCAGAGGAAGGTCCCAGAAGGAGAAAATTCCATAAGTATCTTCCTGCTTTTGCCACTCACCTGTCAATGTGTCCTAGGCCCAGCTGAGAGCCCTTGTCTGTGAGATGCAGGCCCATCAAACCACCTTAACCCAGAATACTATACTAGCAGCTAACTTTCCCATTTTAATTTCTCTCAATTTTTCAAATGCTCCCATAGTGCATGTTAAGTGCCCAAGCCTTGTCATTTGGGTTCAAGTCTTCTCTATACCAGTCACTGGATTTTTGCTTGTTTGGGGGCTTGGGAGAGCTACGCAGGCTTGTTTGCTAAATTTAGCAAACACTCACAGGCATAATCATTCCATAAACATGCTTCAGAAGGACAGTGCAGAGCTGATGCACATGACGGATGTCACTCACCCTAGTGTCACATAAACAAAACTGAATGGAACCATTCTCCAACAGAATTGGAGTGGCGCCTGTTCACACTATAAATATTTATGAAGTCATAGTTCTTAGACTCTATTTTCCAGGTAAGTAGCCTTTGATGACAAAGTTAAGCAGAGATTTCCCTGAAATTATGGACTAGTCACCATTGTTTAGTGGTGGGTATTTCAGAGAATGCAAGAGAGGGAAAGGGGGAACGAGCCTCCATTCCACAAGGCGTCTACATGTGGGAATCTCATTTATGTTAGTCATAGTTCTCATTCAAAGCATGACAGCCTTTGCTGGAGTGAGGGACACCCAGAAGGAAGGCAGTCCAGTTGGTTCTACTCAGGAAAAGGTGATGAAGAGAGCCTAGTAGGCCCTTGTCAACCAATTTCAGGCCCCTCCCTCGGCCCTGCTGGAAAGACTTTTTCTCCTTCCACACTCTTACTTAGCCTGTCTTTTAGTAACAGAAAAAAAAAAAAAAATGTACATCTCACTCCATTACTATGCTCATCTGAAAGGAATCCTCAGAATGTGTGGATGTCCGCCTGGGTGTCTGAGTGCTATGCACAGCCAACCTTGTGAGGTAGTTAGGAATGGCACCCAGAGCCCCTCATCATCCACAAGCCTTCCAGCTCTCTGCTCCCCTCCTCCACCCAAGGCACTCTAGCAATCCTGAGACCTTGCACTCCCAAGCCATTGTCCCCACCACAAGCATGCTGATTTCCTTGTCACTTTAAAGCCTACATGCTGTTCATCTTCTAAAGGCACCAGTGCCCTTGGCCCAGTGTGATAAGCCTGGGTCTTCCTGGGGCAAAGGGTGGCATTTTGCCTAGGATGAGTTCTTTAAACCTCAGGGTAGCACTGGCCCCATCACGTGTGTCGGGCCCTCAGGGAAAAGTTGACGATCATTTGGCTCTAGCCTGAGAAGCCTTACAAAGTGAGTCATAGGCTGCCTTGACCACCCTATGTGGGGAGGCCAGGGCTGCCATGTATGGACTTTGCTCCGTGCCACCCACCTCTCCAAGTCACTCCCAGCTCTTTGCCAGGACAGCCTGAGTCATAAAACTCAGCGCATTCCTTAGGCGTTGGATCGTCTTTCCTTGTTATTACTTCGCCTTTGTTTTACGCAGCACCTGGTTTCATTTTAAAATCCCAAATAGAATCACCCTGCCAGGGTGGGGGTGGGAAGAGAAAGCAAAGAAAACAAGGGAGGGAGGGAAACCTAGGCTGGTGGTGGGGCCGGAGGAAAGCTCCGCTTATTGGGTAGTCCAGCCGAGGGACAGGACGCCACAAATTAATTCCTTTTAGCTGCCTGAAAGTACCTGGCGGCCAGGTCTCCTCCCACTCCTTCCTTTCGCTAGGCCACAGTACTGTCTGTACTTTCCTCACAGGTCATGTGACCCTTCCCAAACCCCTCCGTTTTCCACTCAATAAACTGACTAATCTTTAATAAACCCCAAGGAACTTTCCACACTCAGCGCACTATGATTCCTTAAATCCGCCTGTCTCCTTTATCTTGTACGATAAACCCAAACTCATTGTGTGAGGCAGTTTTTTTCCATAAGCTAAATTTTTTTTCTGTTGTTTTTCCTGTGGGGGTAGGGGCAGTCAGGGACAGGCGCATAAGGCAGACACTCAATGTGGCTGGTCACACGAAGTTTCTGTGGCCAGGTTATTTCTGTAAATTCGTCTGTAAAGCTGTTGACATTGATTTTTAGAATCGAAACAGAATTCTAACAAACTCTGGCTGGCATGTGGCAAAAACCGAACACTGGGGCACTGCAAAGCCTTGCCGGGGATAAGTGTATTCCTAGGAGTGACGACGCAGTCACTCGAGCATTGTCCTCGGGTGTCTGCCTGGGCGCCTACCCAGAGGTCCCCTCGCTCTGCATGTGCAGGGCAGACTGGGGAGGCTCCTGAGCGGCCCCGGGCAGCATTTTCAATGCACGGTTCTGGCAAGTTTAATGGAAACCACACGAAGGGTTCCCGGGAAGCAGACCAGATGGCTCCCAGCGAATGTGTTTAGCCCAACCTGGGGCTAAAGGAAAACAGAAATGATGATTATGATGGCTGGGTCGTGTGGGGCGCGGATAGGGGTTAGGGTGAGACTGTTTTCTGTGCAAGAGGAGTCATGGGTTGGGGGACAGGTTGGAGCAGGAGCGCAGAGGCGCGGGGTGACAGGAGAGGGGGTGCCAGCCCGTGGGGTGGGGTGGCCTTGCTCCTCCCGCGCCGTGCTGCCGGGCCACTGCAGGGCAGCGTGGGGACCTCCCAGGGCAGCCTCAGCGGGAGAGGGAGGCGCAGGCCCGTGGGCGGAGCCGAAGGCGGAGAGGGCAGCCCAGCCAGATTTTCTTGGGGGGGCGCGGGCGGGGGAACCTGGCCGTGGAGGGCTTTCTGTTCTGAGTGGTGCCTCCGGAAACAGAAAAGTCTTTCTGAGACGGAAGAGGCTAGGCGGGGTGGCTCTGGGGCCCGCCATGGTGGCGGTCACACCATCATTTATGAGGTTCTTGCAGCAGAATGGGAGTCTTGGCACTTACTTTGAAGGAACATTTGATCATGGTTATGACAACCCCCTCCCCTTCAGCACACCACACACACACACCACACACACACGCACTCGCACACGCACACGCACACGCACACGGAAAAAGAACAAGGGATGAAACCCAGGTTAGTTTCTAGCACACCCAACCAAGGTCTCCTCCGACCTTCTGTCTTAATGGGTTAATGAAGGAACTAGGGCCCCAAATCTGTGGCTTCATTCTTCAAGTCAGTCGAATACTGAGACTTTGCGGTATTCGGGGTATTGATCAGCCTCTGAGTCCTCCGAGGAGATAGGCTTGCTTTCATAATCCCATTGTCCCTGAAGCTGGATGGGGGGAAAAAATGGTCCGATTGTCAACACTCGCTCGTCCGCAAAGGTCACTGTTCCCACAAAATTGAGAATTAAATTGTCTCTTTCAAACCAGACATCATTCACGAGCAGGGCCTGGCATCGCTTCTGCATTTTCTTCCATCTTTTAAAAATACCCTTTCTGTTTTGTATATTGTGCCTCAGTCAGGAAGGACAGATAAATAAGCAAGACAATTTAGAAAGGCAAGAACTCTTAGGATCACTAACGACCTACAATCTCTCTTTCCTACCCACCTTTCCCACCTCCTGTCATTTCCTTAGTCAGTCAGTCCTGGGTGTGAATTTTCTGCTTCTCAGCCCTACATCGTGAACTTCTTCAAGTCAAGGCCCAAGATTATAAATAATTAGAGGACTAAAGACGCTAGTCACCAAGCAAATGTTTTTAAGGGGAAGATTATTGGTGACCTGGCAGCTCAGGCTTTTTCCCTCAAAACACCAGTACCTGTTTAAGAATATTTTAAATTTGGAGGCTGGAGGGATGGCTTAGCGGTTAAGAGCATTGGCTCTTCTTCCAGAGGACCCTGGTTCTATTCCCAGCATCCATATAATGGCTCACTTCCAGGAGACTGGGGTTACCTTCTAGCCTTTGAGGGCATCAGGCACACACACATAGTATACAGACATACATGCAAGCGAAACACCCATACATATAATAAATAGCAAAATAATTACAACTTTATTTTAAAATTGAAATATTTTGCTTCACTTATTTTTAGTCAGGATTCTAGGCTCTACATTTCTCAGATAACTCTTCCATATTTATTGCTCATGACAGAGGGAAAGAGAGGAGGAGGGAGAGAGAGAGAGCCTTTGGACTGTTAGTACATCACAAAAAAATGTATGAAAATGTGTTTAGGGGAGGGGTCGGGAAAATACCTGACGGAGGAGGACATGTGACCCTCAGCACAGCTGTGACACTGATTAGCAATGGAATTGCCTGGCCTCAGAGCAACTCCATGCAGCAAGAGGGAATTATTTAATAGTAGTTAATCATTCCCTCAGACAACTCCCAGGAGGAGGCTGAGAGCAACACACTTTCAAGAAATCATCTTCCCTTCCCAGAAGAGAGCCCCAGACCTCCAGAGAAGCAGGTCCTTAACAGAGTGCACAATGAACTTTCAACAGACCCCTCACAGCTTCTGGGCCCCCCTTGTGTCTCACCCCACAGCCCCAAGAATCTCCCCCCACAGCCCCACAGTGCTGTCTACCAGAACTTACACATTCCCTGGATCTACAGGACAAGCTTAATCCTTGCAGGCTACCATGAAAACACGCTCAACTGTGGCACCCAAGGTGAACTGTCCATCTTGTCCTGTTAGCTAAATTTGCCAGGTTCCCTTGGTTCCTCCAGACCAGCCTTTTCAAAATGACATGTGTGTAAAATTTGTATTCTTGTGACAGTCTTAGATGATACTTAACATTTAAAAAATTTAAGTAGTCAAGTTATTCTTTCTCCCTAACACACATAGCTAGCATCCCAAACCCATGACATCACAAATATTGTTACTTAGCACAGAAGTGAGTTGTTTAAATTCAACTTAAAGAAAGGGCATTATAAAAAAAATTGTGGGATAGCTAAAATTATTGTTTTATTTCATAATAAATGAAGTCAGTAGGGCTCATAGAGAAAACTATTTTTCTTCGCTTTTTAACCTATTCTTCAGGAATCCCTGCCAGAGAATTATGTGTATGAGTATGAGCATGTGTACATGTGTGTCATGTGTGAGAGTATGTGTGTGTGTTTTATGTGTGTGTGTGTGTGTGTGTGTGTGTGTGTGTGTGTGTTGATGTGTGTATGGATGCCTGTGTGTGTGCCCCAGTATGTGTGTTTGTGTGTGGTATTATGTGCCTGTGTGTACATGTGTGTATGTTTGTGTATATGTGGCATGTATATGTGTTTGTGTGTGTGTATGTGTGTGTGCATGCCTGTGCGTGGCATGTGTATGTATGTGTTCATGTGTACGCTCACATGTGTGCCTCTATGTGTGCATGTGCTTGTGGCCATCAGAAAACAACTTCCATTCCTGATCCTCAGATGCCGTCTACCTTGTTTCTTGAGACAAGTTCTCTCATTGACCTGCTGTCTGCCTAGTAGGCTATACTGGCCAGTGAGCCTCAGGGCTCCATCCACCTGCCTCTGCTTCCTCAGCACAATGAATTTCAAGCCCATGGCACTACACCCAGCTTTTATGGGAATTCTGGGGATTAAAGGAAGGTTGCTGTGTTTCCAAGACAGACACTTGACGGCTGAGCTGCCATCACCCTGGCCAACCTCTTCTGCCAGAATTCTAAGGCATAAAAAGACCTCATTTTAACATCCGGTTTAAAAGCCCTGGGATATTAGAAGGCCATATCAAGGAGAGCAGGGACAACAGACACCGGGGTGAAAATGGCCGGACTGGGGCACTGAGCAACCAGGGTGGGTCCCCAGCAAGGTAGGACAACCTGAGAACCTGGAGGCAGAGCCCTCCAGCCCTCATCCCCTGAGATGGGAATCCCCATCCCCAAAGCCTCTCTGAAGGCTGTTTCCTGAACCAGACAGGTCTGCACAGGCAGTGTTTGGAGGCCTCTCTTATCAGAGCAGCCCATCTTTCAGCAGAGTCTAAAGGAAGGCTATTTTTATAGGACCTAAGCACCCCACACCCCCACTCATGCATTCAGACACACCCAGGGGCAGGGACCCATGAGAATGACAAGGTAAAGTTCTTACTTGTTTCAGAAGTTTTTTCCCTCTAGACCTGTAATTCATGAGGAGCTCAAGGCCTGGCTTTGGGGGTTTCACACCTAGAGTGAAGACACGTTCTTCAGGCAGAGCAAAGTCTACTATGAATAAGGAAGGAAACTTAATGGAGTTTTTTTTTTCCCTACCGAGGGTGAACCCACAGTCTTGCACAAGCTAGGTAAATCACTTAGCTACACCCTCAATATTCTTTTTGCTGCTTTCTTTCTAGTTTGGTATTCTTTTGAGGCAGGGTTTCATGTAGCTTTAGTTGGCCCTGAGCTCCTGTCTTGATCCTCCTGCCTCAGTCTCCTAAGTGCTAGGGTTACAGGCATTAGCCATCATACCATGCCCAGCTCTCCTTCCTCCTCCCTCCCCTCTCTCTTCCCTGACTTCCTCCCCCCACTCCTCCCTGATTCAGCCACAGCATGTGGCTGGCCTGGACTTATTACATGAGACCTGGCTAGTCTTGAGCTCACAGGGATGGGCCTGCTTCTGCCTCCTGAGTGCTGAGATTAAAGGTGAGCACCACACTCGGGCTTTTTACTTTTCATTTTGAGACAGCATCTCACTAAGCTTCCAAACCACACCTCAAATTGCAATCCTCTTGCCTCAGCCTCCAGAGAAGCTAGGATTACAGGCTATGCTACAAGGCTTGGCTTGTGATTTGCTGACATCCTGAAGCGCTTTTTAAATCAGAAGTCCCAGGCCCTCACTTGTAGTCTCCCCAACCACAGCAGCAACTCCCCACAGTGCTTATTATTCTCAGAGCAGCTGGAGGTCAAATGCGTCTGAGGGATACCCACCCCCCATCATATCTGGCCCTACTTTCATCCATGTTAGGTCTCATAAAGTGACGTAGCAAGGTAGATGTCAGTAGGGTGGGGGCAGAAGTGTGAGGCCTCTTAAATGGCCTCTGACCCTGGAAGTCATGAAAATAGTAGAAAAGATAGCAGTCAAAACAAAGACTACAAGTAGATAGGACTGACAGCATATTGGATGCAGGGCGAGACCCCTGGGGGTTGTGGGGGCACTTACGAAAAGTTCTGTGACATGGAAGTGTTGGACAAGGAGATTCAGAACCCCAAATCTGATGTGCCTGGAGAACAGAGAGTTGGGAATTAATACCAACCAAGGCAGATGTGGGGGTACATGGCCGAGATCCCAGAACTGGGAAGGCTGAGACAGGGAGATACTGAGATTGAAAGCCAGACTGGGCTATATAGCAAGACTAAGTCTCCAAACCCAAACCAAAACAAACTGAGCCCAGAATGGCTGAGAAGATGGCCTTGTGGGTGAAGAGCTCTGAGCTCAGCCCTATGGCTATAAAACCCAATGTAAACCCAATGTAAAACTGCAAAACCAAAAACCAGGGAGGTGCTGGCTAACCATGGCACTGGGGATGGGACAAAGTGAGGGTTGGGGCAGTGAACAGACAGGCCACCCTAGGGCTCACTACCCAGTCAGTCTGGCCAATCAGTGAGCTCCAAGTCTGGTGAGCAACAATAAAGTGGAGAACAGTAGAGAAAGATGGCCAATGTCAATCTCCAGCCTCCACATACACACATGTGTACCTGTACATTCACATATACCATACACACATGCATGCAACAACAACCCCATTTTCACAATAATAAACAACTAACAAAACTCCTTTATCAGCTGTTTTCCCACCCTTATTCAAATGGCATTTGGATAATACTATCAAAATCCACTCTCATCAGTAAAACGAAAAGACAAACTGGCTGAAGAACTTACAAATGAGGCTGAGCAAAAAAGTCCAGTCCTAGTATGTAAACAGTTTATAAAAAAATTACTAAAACAAACAACAAAAACAACTATCCCCCAACAGAAACATGGGGGAAAGAAATACAGCCATGTTCCATTATTCATGGATTCCACATTGAGAATTCACCTGCTTGCTAAAGTCTCTGTGTAATCATGAGGTCAAGGCAGCACTTTTGAGGTCATCGAGGAGCACGTCCAGAGTGGAAAAATGGAATCCCCTGCCATGTGTGCTCATGCCGAGGTCAAGCATGGCCAGGAAGCCTTGGCGGTGTTCTCTTAAGTAATTAAGTGTCCTTTTGTGGTCCTTTAGAACTCCATGTTCTGCCTTTTTGCGTTTCTTTGTTAGGGATTTTGCTATTTAAAATGGTCCTGACCATCATGCTGAAGTACAGTGTAGGATCCAAAGCAAAGGAAGGCTGTGGCGTGCCTCTCAGGGAAAAGAACCCCAGTAATTAACCTCCACCGTAGCGGTACTGGTTCAAGTTCAGTGCTAATAAGTTGACTTATATTAAAGAGTCTTTGAACAGAAACATACATATAAAAATTGGTGATGACTTTTTAATTTTTAAGTCTTTTATAATAAAGATAATTTTAAAATATACATAAAACAAAGTTTATATGTTGATAATTGACAAGACAAAACATTGTGACTAGAGGTTTACAGAACCCAAACTTTACATCTCCCATGGGAGCAACTGTTTGCTGTTCATTAATGTCGTGCTCAGTTCAGCTTTAGAAAATGTGACTTCGGCAGATAATGAGAACCAACTATTGCTAATAAAAACACTCATGAAACTAATAAACATGAGGAAAGAATCTTAATCTATCCAAGAAAATTCAACTATCTTCATCTATCAAATTGGGAAACATTAAGGTTATAATTATGTTCATTAACCTTTTGAAGGAAAAATCCACTCTCACTGTGCATCCAGGTTGACCTTGAACTTGTGGCCCTCCTGATGTGGTTTTTCTTGAATACTGGGATCACAGCATGTGCCCATAGGCATGGATTAAAGTAGGAGTGAGAATATAGGAAGGTGCTGAGGCTAATACGGGGAGGCAATTTAGCTGTGAATAAAACCAACTTACATCCCAACCCAAGGATTTTACTTCTGGAAATGCACTAAGATGAATTTACCATTGCATAAATGTGTTTATGATAACTAATAGTTATCATAACACTGTTTATAATAATTATAAATACAAAAACTCATAAATGTCTAGCAAATAAAAACAACAAGGAAAAAGAAAAAAGGAGAAAAAGGAAAAATGCTCAATGCTTGCGGATACGGGACATTTTTAAATTGCACTATGCACAGGGCTGAATGGGTCAAGTGATAACAAATGGCTATACTTGTTAACAAAGAAAGGTGTTCATAAAAAATATTGATAAATAAGAGCAGATTACAGAGGACAAGATCCAGTGCGACCTGGTCAACTTACTGGATACACTTGTATTTGCAGACATACGATGTATATACAAGCATATTGATTTTTGTAACAAGTGTAATTAAAATGTATTGTCTCGGAAGAAGAGAAAAACACTTCCCATGTTTTTGTTCTTTTGAAATGCTGTGACTTGAACCCAGGCCCTTCTTGGGTGCCAAGCAATTGCTTTGCCACTGAGCTACACCAAAATCTTGTTTTTCACTGTTTCTATTTCTAGTCTCTTCATTGTTTGGGGGTTGACAGTCAGAGACTTACAAACTTACTGTGATTTTTGCCACACACGGAAAAGAGACAATGTGGGAGAATATGGTAACAGCTTCAGCCCAGTAAGTTGTTTGGTTACCTTGGTTACCTGTGTATCCCCTACTAGGAAGTTACACACATAATACCCAGGAACAACTGTTTGACAAATTAATATTTGTTTTTAAAACTCCTCCCCTTCAAGGTTTCTCTCTTATGACAAATATGTAGTATTCAATCCCTTCTACACACTACTAAAAGTCCTCAGGAAGGGTCAGAACGTACCACTTTGTGCTTGACATTGAGCTGAGTGCCCGGAGAGTGTCTTGCTATATCAGGGAGTCCTCCTGCATGCAGATGAAGAGGGACATCAAGGTGAAATCACTTAGACTCCTAAGTTACACAACAACTCTCATACTACACAAGCAGTCATTGTTTCCCGTTAGCCCTTGACCCACAGAATAGTTAGAGGGAAAACTGTGGCTGGCATTTAAACTCATAGTAAACCTTTAGGAGCTTTGGGGAGGGACACGCATTTCCACATCTGGAACATTGTTCTTTGATCACAGTGCTCTTAGAATCTGAGAAAATTGCCCTTTCCGCCGACCGACCCAGGAACTAGGTGAGTGAGCCTCTGCCCTTACCCAACTCCAGCCCAAAACTTCACTCACCTCTACCACCCACCTCCCCTCCCCCTCCCCACCCCCAGCGCCTGCCAGCCTGGGGTAGACACACCCAGGCAGGGAGGAACTCCCTGCTCCCTGAATAATCTAGTAGCTCCACACTCTTCTATCCCTTTCCAGGGACTGACCCAGGAACGAGGGGAGTGAGCCTCTGCCCTTACCCAACCCCCACCCAAACCATCACTCACCCCGACCACCCCGACCACCCCGGGGCTGCGCCCACCTGCTTGGGGTAGACACGCACAGACAAGGAGGAGCTCCCTGAATCTGGAAACACCCCACTCTTCCATTTCTTTCCGCCAACCGATCCACAACGAGTGAGGAGACTACCAGGAGAGGCAAGACCATCCAGAGTTGTGGACATTGAATTCCTGGCCCCCACACACCACTGGGTCACAAGAGGAGATAGAGAGACCCCACCTGCACCCACTAAAAGAAGATATGGGAAGAAGACAGAATAAGATTTCCCTCAACAACAGAAAGACCAATATGACACCACCAGAATCTAGGGACTCCACTCCAGCAAGATCTGAAAAGCCCAACACAGAGCATGAAGATAAGATGGACCTCAAAAATTATCTCATCAAGATGATAGAGACCTTTAAAGAGGAAACAAGAAAACCCCTAAAACAAATAGAAGAAAAAGCAAACAAAAAATTACACAAAATGGAGGAAAAGACAAACCAAAAAATTCAAGAAATAAACAAATCTCTTAAAGAAGCTAAAGAAACCCAAGAAAAAACATCCAAACAAGTGAAGGAAGCTCTT